ACGTCCGGTGGCTCAGTCGGTGGAGCGTCTGACCCTTAGTTTCAGCTCAGGGTGTGATCTCCGTGGTGGTAGCTTGGAGCCCACATTGGGTTCCCCGCTGAGCGGGACGTCAGCATGAGATGGTCTCCCTTTGCTGCTCACCCCACTCGTGCATGCGTGCTTGCTCTCTCAAATAAATAAATAAAATCTTATAGACAATTTTTTTAAAAAAAGCACATTTGAACACAGGTGAGAGATTACACGGTGATTGGGGGTTTGTACCAGCAGGCCCAGGGAAGCCAAGTTCCCCTTTTTGGACTGCGGTGGAAACCTCAACACAACACTTCTTGAGAAGCGCAAACAACAGAGATGATTGCCGTTGCCTGTGGCTGGAACTAGAAACAAGTGGCACAGCTGAAGGACAACCAACCACGTGGAGATTTTACGACTCATCGAGGAAAGTTTGGATCTAGAAGCTGCTGGAACCAACACGCGGCTTGGAAAGTTAGGAACGGGACATGAAACACAAGGAAGGCAGAGAAACGGAAAGGAGATCAAACACAAATCGAAACAGCTCGGAAGTCAGTGACTCAATGTTTTGATGCTGAAGTCCAAGAGCTGAGGAGGTGAGGTTTCCCCTCCCTCCGTCCCTCCCTCCCTTGCTTTCTGGGAGGAGGTTCAGAGCTGCCCCTCGGAGCTGGGTGCGAGGAGGTGGAGGGAACACAGTGCCGCTGGGGCGGGGCCCAGTCTGGAAGTACTGGGGGGACAGCCCTGGCCGAGATCAGCCCTCTGCAGCTGTCTTAGGGGTCCCTCAGCTCAAGGATGAAAATAGAATAGCCCCCTTGGCCTTAGGTCATCGTAGTTGTAGATCGGCCTCCACCCCACCCGGATCAACCACCTGTCAGGAGGGAGGCGGGTGCGTGGTTGCAATTGGGAGCCGTGGAGGGGATGGGTGGGCCAGGGGACTCAGGGAGAGGCTGGGGCCCCCTACTCTTCCTCCTAGGAAGCCTAGGAAGAGCTAGGGTCCCAGGGCTGCCCCCTACTAGAGAATGAGCACGGTTCATAACTGGAAGGGAGGCCAGGCCTCAGGATCCTCCCAGCCCTGGGGAGAGTCCTCCTAGAGCCGCAGGACCAGGCCCCGCTGGATGGGTCACAGGCCAGATGCTTCCTCCAGCGCAGCGGAGGGGAATCGTGGTTCAAGGTTCCTGTCCTGCCCTGGGACAGGGTCTGCCCTTTACTGAATGGGGGGGGGTCCTCAGAAGTGGCCTCAACTGGCTTGTTCCTCTGCAGCTCCATAGTCCTCTCAGGCTGCCCCGACCGGCTCGGCAGTTGCAGCCGCGGCTTGGGAAGAGCGGGACTCCTCTGGGCCCCTGCGTCCCGGGCCATCCTGTGGGGCCTCCTGCAACACCCCACAGGTAGCCCCCACAACCTTGGTGCAAGGAGGGGAGCCCTGTTCTTTGGGTGGCCAGGAACAGAGCCGGGCTTTCTCCCCAAGAGTCCCCTTCCCACCCTCACCTGGATTCAGCGCCCACCAGCCCACCGTCCTGCCCTCCTCAGCCCCGGGCGAGACCACCTGGCCCACCCTATCCTGCAAAGCATTCGCAACCCCTGACCCAAACCAGGCACACAGGACATTTATATTTTTATAACAAAGAACCAAAGTCACGCTGTATTTGGGAACGCCCCTTTCCTTTCACCATTGCCAGCTCTGGATTTTAGGAACATTTTGATTTTCAGCCATCTGTTTGCCAAAAATACAATATTGCGGTTTTTAAAAAGTCTTTTTTTTTTATTTCTTGAAACATGTAGATGAGCAGCTTTCATTTCTTGTGGTTTTTCCTATTTCTTTCATTACATCTGTTTACTCCTGTCCTTATAATTTGTCCATTTACTACTGGGGTCTTGTTGCTTCTTATTGATCTGATTCCATGAACATTGAAATTGCAGCTACATTTTCACTTGTCGCATCTCTTGACCTTTGTGTTTCCTCCCTCGGCATGGAAGTGTCGTCTTTGTGAAATGAGATTTAGTGAGTTATTTCCCTTTTACAACCTCTGAGTTTCCTACTGTCCCGTGAGAGCCGCGTCAGATGGCTCTCATGCAACCTCCTTATTTTCGGGGACACCCAACACTCTTCTGGATGAGGATGTTGGGGTTGCAAACTCCCCCGTTTCCTGGGGTTGTTTTCTGCTCCCCACTAAATTGTTTATCGACCCACATTTTTCTGCACCAAGAGCTGCCGTGAGCTGCACCCAGCACACAGTCCTTTTTCCTTAACTTCTTCAAAACCTCTCTTGTGAAAGTATCATGGTAAGAAGACAGACGACTTCACAGCCCAGGGACCATGGGTCTGTCACAATGCTTTTTTTTTTTTTTCCTCCAGCTTTATTCGGATAGTATAGACACGCAACATTGTGTAAGTTTAAGGTGTATGACGTGATTTGACGCATCTAGTACCACAGAATGGTCTCCACTGTAGCCTTAGCTTATCCCACAATGATCATTCCCATTAGTGTGGCAAGAACATTTAAGATTTAGTCTCTTAGCAACTTCTGATGACATGACGCGGTATCACGAGGTATAATCACCGCGCTGCCCAATAGACCCCTAGAACTTAACTCACCTTTTAACAGGAGTTTGTGCCATTGGACCGACACCTCCCCGTTTCCCCTGCCCCGCAGTTCCTGGTAACCACTCTTCTGTTTCTACAGGTTTGTTTTTTTTTTAAGATGCCACATAAAGTGATATCATAGAGCAATTGTCTTTCTCTGCCTGACTTACCTTTTTTTTTTTTTTGAGAGATCTTTTTATTAGAGAGAGAGAGAGAGAGAAAGACTGCATGAGCAGGGAGAGAGGCAGAGAGAGAATTTCAAGCAGACTCCCCGTTGAGCATGGAGTGCGATGTGGGGCTCATCTCGGGACCCCGAAGTCATGACCTGAGCCGAAATCAAGAGTTTGGATGCTTAACTGACCGAGCCGCCCGGGCGCCCCTGCTTGACTTACCTATTTTAGCCTAACGCGCTCCAGGTTCGTGCAAGTTGCTGGGGTAGGCCGCCCTTCCTCACGGCTGAGTAACGTTCCGTTGTCTATCTGGACCACATCTTCTTTACCCGTTGGTCTGTTGATGGGCACTTACATTGTTTCCATATCTTGACTATTGGTCACACTGCTGCTCACACTGTGCTGTCACACGTACTCTGGGAAACTGTCACAGGCAAAAATTTCTTCTAAAGTCCCCACCCCCCCAAAAAAATTAAAAAAAGTCCCCACCCCAGGGGTGCCTGGGTGGCTCAGGGGGTGAAGCTTCTGCCTTCGGCTCAGGTCATGATCTCAGGGTCCTGGGATCAGGCCCCGAGTCATCGGGCTCCCTGCTCCAAGGAGAGTCTGTGGCTCCCTCTCCCTCTGCCCCTCCCACCCCCACTCCTGCCCTCTATCTAATAATATCTTTAAAATAAAAATAATAAATCTCCCTCTCCGAGACTTTCACCCCCAACCAACCAACCACTGCTGAGATGCCAATTCTTTCTCATTCTCGTTTCCCTACTCCTCCATCCTCTGCCAACTCTGAGACACCTTTCAGACCAAGCTCTTTCCTCCTCCTCATCCTCCCCAATACATGCCTCCTGAGTGGGGTGGGCGATGGGGCCGAATGCACATCTTCTTAGTGACTTGCCTTCCTTTTCCCAGCTACCACCCACCTCCACACGCTGGTCACCGGACTCCTGAGGCCTCCTATCATCTACCCATCGGTACCATTTCACGCGGTCCTGGCTTTCCTCCTACCCCGGCCACCCTGCCCCGTGTCCTTCACCACTTCCACAACACTGACATGCGAGGGCTTCGCGGCTCTCAAGCGGCTTCTTGCTCGCTAAACATTTGGCCTTCGATGCCCAGAAAGCCCATTCCTTCGGCGCCTTCCCTCGCAGGAAGCATGCCAATGTTTCACGGGCATCTTGTGTTCCTACAAGACGTGGATTGTGTTCTAGGAGAAGGTCACTGCACGGCCCACGTAGCGGCTGCTCAAGTCACAGATTTTTGTCTCAGACGGAACTGTGGCCTTTGGCTTTCTCCCCGTCATCTGGCCCCGATCCGAGGACTCGGCTGCCCTGCTGCCCTCCCCGCACCCGGGCCCGCCCACTGTCGCACAGCCTCCTGGCCTGGACCTGGACGTTTCTGGGGAGCAGGTCCCTCTCCCCGCGGCCTACTTGTGGGAACCGGTGCAGGAAGTCCCACCCCTGCTCCCCCAGCCCTCAGGACTGCCTCTCAGGGGGCTTCGGCCCCCACACTCTTCTGATAAAAAACGCTACCTGTTAATTCTCACACAGTGTGTGTGGGGGGGGGAGACGTGCCCATTTAAACCCATTTAAAGGTCTGGCTCTGACCGGACCCTCACGCATTCCCTTCATTTGACTTCAGTGATTCGGCCATGGGACAAAGCCACCCGAGGGCCCCCCTCACGATGATCTTATTGCAGATAACTCGCAGGGAGGGCAGACCAGGCCCCGGCGGCGGGGTGGGGGGGTTAGTGTACGGTGACGGAGCATGAGGAGTCAGGGGACCCCCTCACCAGCCGGGTGCCTCATCACACCCCTCACCCTCTGGGCCTCAGGTTCTGCCCAGGAAACCCCGGGGAGTGTGGTGGGGAATAAATATGGAAATATGGTGACTGGGGTCGCTGGTGGAGGAGGAAACCTTAAACTATGCTGGAGAAGCCCCTCCAGGCCGGGACAGGGGGCCCTGGGTGGGGGAACATGGTGCAGGGGGTACACTTCCCTCGCTGGGGGCTGGAGGCTGCTCCTCGGAGGTGCGGTGTCTGGAGGTTTGCAGACAAAAGCTAAGCACAGAGGGGCACCTGGGGGGCTCAGGGGTTGAGCGACTCCTTCAGCTCAGGTCGTGACCCCAGGGTCCTGGGTTTGAGTCCCGCATTGGGCTCCCCACAGGGAGCCTGCTTCTCCCTCTGCCTGTGTCTCTGCCTCTCTCTCTGGGTTTCTCATGAATAAATAAAATCTTTTAAAGAAGCATAGAGTAGTTGTTCCTTCAGTTGGTTCACTGAAGGACTGTTTATTCGGCTTTATTTATCCTGTCCTAGCAGGAACTATTAACAAATAAAGGTTCTAGTTTCTTATAAACAGTGTCGATCCCCGCCCCCCCCCCAAAAAAAAGATCTTGCTTCTCTAGAGGGTGGGGAAAGTACACAGCTGTGAACTTTGACTTCTAACACGCCCCGAGTGAGAGGAACTAACCGCCTGCAAACCTGTGTCTCCCTCTCCTGGAAGGAGCTTGAGACCTGCTGGGTGACCGGAGCCCACAGACACATCAGAGCCTCCAGAGCAGACACAAGCTCCAGGTTGAGATGGAGGCTCCAGGCTCCTTCTTCTCCCCTGAGGAGCTGCCTTTTCCAGGACGGAAAGCGGGTCAGGCCTAGAGCCCAGGTGCTGGCTGTCTGCTCCCTAGATGAGGCTCCTTGGGCTGTCTGTCCAGCCAGAACTGGCACCACACACCCAGGAAGGAAGCCCAGTCTCCAGTGTTCTCGTGGGGCCCATGGAGGCCCCTCCCGGAGCCTGTGGCTCAGGCTGCTAGGGAGAAGGCCAACGTGCCCCTGTCAGAGGCCCAGGCTGAGGACGTGGGGGTAGGAGGTGCTGGCCAGGGGTGGGAAGCAGAGGGCAGGTGAGCGTGTGGCTTCCAAGGCCCCAGCACACCGAGGGCCACGTGGGCCTGTTGGGCACCATGGCCCAGAAGCCATCTGGTGAAGCCAGAATTTCCTCCGGACATCCAAGCCAACTTGTCTACCCCGGGGTGGGGGGCGGTTCAGCTCTGCCTCACAACTGGCCTCTCTGGAGGGGCGGCGGAAGGGCTCACCCACGCATTCTGAAAGCATTCAGACAACGAGGCCAAAGAGAGACAAGGACTTGAAGCACACAGGCTCCCGGTCCCCTGTCTAGGGCTGCCCACTTGAGCTAGGGCAAGCTACTTCTCTGTCCCGACTTCACATACCACTGTCCACGGCTCACCACGAGAGCCAGGGGTTAATCCCCTAGTCACAGCTATGACAGGGTTTCAGGGCAGAGGCCACACAGCTTTGCTGCAAATCTGCTTTGTCATGGCTCAGGCCTGTGTCTGGCATGAGATGGGAACAGAGCTGGGGGGTGCGGGGCGAATCGGGGTTCCTGAGTCAGAGCTCCTAGGTCCTGATGTGTGTGGCTGTGGGGCCTTGGGAAAGTTATCTAGGCAGTCTGTGCCTCAGTTTCCCCCCATAGAAGTGGGCACGAGGTGTTACCTCATCGTGTTGCAGTGAAGAGGAATGACATCAGTAATTAGCTCATGGGTCCCTGGCACATGTGTAGACGCTTAGGAGATGTCAGCAACTGTTTCTGCCTCGGCCAGATGCCTAGCCTGGGAGGCTACTACCCAGGATCACTGATGGGGGGGGCTGGGGGGAGTGAGGGGGGTTTACTCTCAACAGGGGTGGCTTTCCCACTAAATTAACATGGCCTTGGTCAGAGGGAAAAGCAGGGGGAACACCGTGACTACCCTCCTGAGGTGTGACCCCCCAGCACCAGCAAGCCTCCTGCCCTTCACAGTGATGACAGCGCAGGGCTAACCCTGGGGGTGTGGCTTGGTCCAGGACCGGGTAATGGGGGGAAGGCACTCCCTGGGAGGGCAGTCGGGGCCCTGAGTCTGGGACGTGTGAGAGCTGGGAGCCGGGACCCCGAAGGAGACAAACCAGGCCACCCAGATGCCTTCAGGGGCAGGCCAGGCCCCACTCCCACCGGCTCTAGAACACAAGCTTCTTGGGAATTTCCCATGGGAACTCGCTTCTTCCGAAATGGCCGTAGCATGCCGTCTTCTGATAGATGGGCTTCTTCAAATCCAAATCCCTGCACAGTCAGCACAGGAAAGGGTCATTTTAAAAGGAAAAGGGAAAAGGAACAGTTTTTCTGAATTTTGGGCACAGGAATAATTAACAGTGTGCGATGATCTTCGTCCACGTGGAGTGTCACTACTCTGAGCGATCTCCCATCAACTTGCTGTCTACGCCACACCATGTCTTCTGCGGGAACTACCACCGGCCCGAAGGAAACAGGCTCAGAGGCTTGGAGACAGTCTGATCAGACACACACCCCCAGGCCCCAGACCTTGAGCCCTGGCCTCCCTGGGCCTCTCTCCTCTCCTCTCCTCCTCCTCCTCTCCTCTCCTCTCCTCTCCGTCCACTCCACCGGCCTGGAGCACACCAACCGCATCGCCAAGCTCCAGAAAGTGGGGATACGGCATCAGAAGCAAGGGCAGCTGGGCCAGGCCAGCCGGCTCAATTCTCAGCATTCGGCCCTCTGGTGACTTTCCTAAGATCCCCGACCTGCTCCAGGATGGCCTCACTGGCGTCGGGGTCTCTGGGCCAGTAGGAACCTTACACAGCCTCCTTCAGCCCGAAAAGCAGACATCCTGCATTTGGGGTATGTGTCGTGCTGGGCCAGGGGCCGCAGGCCCTCTTGCTTCGGGGAGGCTCAAAGTCCTTCCCCCTGCTTCCCTTCCAGGGGAGCCGAGGCTCTGGGTGAGGGAGGAGCAAGGGCCGGGCAGCAGTGACAGCGGTGGCACTCTTACCTGACAATGACCCCTGGCCGGAGGTCAAAGTTCTTATTGACCACATCTAGCAGCTCTCTCTCTGTCTTCTGAGAGGTTCCGTAGGTGAAGATGGAAATGGACAGTGGCTCAGCCACACCGATGGCGTAGGAAACCTTCCAGGAGAGACCAGGGTCAGGGGACAGAAGCCTGGGTGCAGACGTCCTCGGGAAGGGGCAGCTGGAGCCACCGTCACCCGCCCGACCTGCTCGCCAACTCGTCTGCCTCCAACCCCCCACCACCTTCAGAGGGAGTGTTCTCTGCATGAGCCTGTTGCCTTGCAGACCTCCCCCTCGCCCAGGTTCTCAGGGTGCACGCTCCGGGGCAGAAGTGGCCTGGGCGCCCTCGCTGGGGCAGAGGTGGGGTGCTCAGCGCGGGGCCCACCCACCTGCACGAGCACTCTCCGGCAGAGTCCTGCCTTCACCAGGGACTTGGCCACCCAGCGCGCAGCGTATGCCGCCGAGCGGTCCACCTTGGTGTAGTCCTTCCCGGAGAAGGCCCCGCCGCCGTGCGCCCCCCAGCCACCGTAGGTGTCCACGATGATCTTGCGGCCGGTGACGCCCGCATCGCCCTGCAGGGGGACACGAGGGAAGGGAGGGAGGGGATGAGAACCAGAGGGCGGGTGGGAGGCAGAGACCGTCCCCCCCAAAGCTGGGCGCCTTGGGCTCTAGCCCCAGCGCGGTCTCTGACCAGTGACAGAAGCCAGGTGTGACCTGCCGGCGCCCCGTCAGAAAGTGCCAACGATGAGCCGGAGCTCTCTGGAATCATGGCCAGCTCCTCCTACCCCTGTCTCTTGTCTTGGGGAATCCGTCAGGCTGGAGACATCCAGCTGCGGGAGGGAACTGCACGGGGACAGACACACCCTGCGCTGCGGCCCCGGCTGGTGGCGCCCAACCGGCACCACGGTGCCCATTTCCTCACGCGTCTGCATCACGATGTTTAAAGGGCAGGGGCTCCAGGTTAAGTGCTTCGGGGAAAGACTACGTACCCTATCCCGCTGCTTAGAGATCCACGGTTCCCACTAGCAGCACATCTGGGCTTTGAGAAGCCCTACAAGGAACAGTGTTTTGTCCAGTGTTTCTGCCCTACGTTTGGTCACGGAACCCACTGCAGGGACTCCCCAGCTGAGGCGCCCCAGGCAGAGGTCAGCACCTCTTGAGGGAGCTCAGTCAACTTCCATGTCCTCTCTCCTGAGGTACTGGGGACCGCGGGGGTCCCCATCCAAACACCTGCCCTCACACGGGTTGAAGGTAACCTGCGACCAGGGCCCCATAGTGCCGCCCGGGAAAGGCCAGTTTCCGTAGCGGTGGGTTGGCATCTCAGCAGGGCAAGGCAGCAGCTTGGGCTACGACGACTGGGGGAGGGCCAGGCTGCACAAGGTGGGAGAGTCCTTGGGGATGCGTCCCAAATTCCTCGTGCACTGACGCACACACAGCCGGCCCCACGGGGCGCCAGCTGACCTCATGCTGGGGCCAGGGCCACACACGGCTGGGCCACACCAAGCTACCTCGTCCTTCCTGCTCAGGGAGTAATAGAGACAAATCGGGACTCTGCTCAGAGGCAAGGGCGCACCTGGGGACCTCCGATGACAAACCGCCCGCTGGGCTGCAGGTGGTAAATGGTGTCTTCGTCCAGGTACTTGGCGGGCACCACGGCCTTGATCACCTGCTCCTTCAGGGCCCTGCGCATGTCCTCCAGGCTTATGTCCTCATTGTGCTGCACGGAGATGACGATGGTGTGGATGCGCACGGGGATGACTGCGCCATTGTCCTGTATGTACTGAACTGTCACCTGTTGGGTCACAGGGGCAGGAGGAGACGCTGTAAGGCCCTGCCCTGAGCTGAGGACACATCGCTGCCAGGCACAGACCCTTGGGAGGCAGGCAGGGCTCCCAGGAGCCAAACGAGGGCAGGGGGCCTCCTGTCCTCCAAAGGCCTCCAGGAAAGTTAATCTGACAGATTCTCATCTTGGAGCAACTGCCCCGTGCTATGGGACGACTGGGTATGAGGCGTAAGCTGTTCCCACCCATGACCACAATTAGTGCCACTTAGAGACTCAGGGTTACAGAGTTTCCTCTCTGTCTGTGACCCAACTAGATGCCTCCCCTTCTATCTCAGAGGGCTCTGAGTGCCAGCGAATGTCCCCTTAGCCAAAGCCCTCTCCTGACCCTCCACGGCCTGGGCACAGGTGTCCGTGGGCCAGGCTGCCTGCCCCAGCCCCTCGGTGGAGGGGCTCTGGAAGCGTATGGGGCCAGGAGACTTGCCTGCTGTAGGGACAGGGTGAGAGGGGCTCAGGTCAGGCTGGATGAAACTGAGGGAGCCGCAAGCTCTGGATGGCCAGCCTCCGGGTGTCTGAGCTAAGGGAAGTTGAAAAGCGGAGAGCAAGTGGAGGGAAGGAGCCCGCCTGCAGGACCCTTGCAGGTCCAGCCACAGGGGCAGTTCTCCTACTCACTTCTACCCAACGGGGTCAATTCTGTGCCCATCCTGTGCATTAGCAAGTCATAGTTAAGCCACCCCAGCGAGAGAGACATTCTCATCTCCACTTTACAGAATGAGAACCAGGCTACAGGAAGCGGAGCAACGTGTCTGAAGTCACACAGCAGTCAGTGAAAAGCCGGAGAGCCAATTCCCCGTGCTGCCCAATCCCAAATCGGGTGTCGTTCCCACAGCAGCACAGACCCTGTGCTACGCTGACACGTCAGTGAGCTCGAGAGCCCGACGTCGAGGCCAGATCTGAGCAGTGACAAAGGACCACAGTCTGTGCTCCCGGGCTTGCAGAGCGAGGGGGATGGGGACGGTGAGGACGGCAGGTGAGGCTGGGAAAGCAGAGTGCCGTGTGCTAGAAGCCATGCCCAAAGTCCCGAGAAGCTGTCCCCAGCCCCGTCTCAAAGGTAGGAGAGCTGTGGTTTCCGACCATAAGTACCTGGGTCAGGAGCACAATGTCGATGGAGCTGGGCTCTGCCCCGGAGCTACGCGTGGGAGCCACAGGCCCCGTTGCCACCGAGGCAGTGTGCACCCACCAGAGCAGCGTGGGAGGGGGCCTGGGGTGTGTGGGGCCTGTGGAGGTGCAGCTATGCCACGTGTCCCTGCTTGCAGCGCTGTCTGGCGGGCACAGCACTACTCCCGACCCCAGGGCCCTGAGAGGCACGGAGGGCAACCGGTGCCCAAGGCCCCTCAGGTATCCACCAAACACTGGGCCTGTTTCAAACTCCTACTCCAGGTCCTGCCTGGTTCAAAGAACAAGAGGGTGGAGTCCAGGAGGAGGAGGAGAAAGAGCCCTGCCCAGGTGATGTCCGGTCCTGGTGCGAGGGGCAAGTGCCCACTGACATCTGTGTACCGAGAGCAACATTAAATGCTGGGCTATGTACACACAGGTGCGACCGGGTGGGAGGGTGGGGGCTCCCAGGAGGGCAGGCCCTGTGGGGGGCTCTGGGGCCGGACCCGCTGTGTGAGCATCAGGCCACAGGCGAAGGCTGGCGCCCCGAGGATCTGCTGGGCCGGGCTCCCCACGCTGCCGCTCCCTGGACGTCCCCCTCGGCCGGGCATAGGCCCCGGGCAGCAGGCGCGTGGAAGCAAACAACTGTGGCGGAGCAGAGGGTTCCAAGTATGCCTCTTATCTCATCATGTCAGCAAGATGTAGGGAAAAATACACTGTGGAAAACACCACTCTGACCAGGTACAAAAATAGCCACCCGTATGCCACGCGATTCTCCGTATCAGCAGCAAGAATTTGTTCAGGTGGAAAGACTCATCCTGTTCACAGTCAACACTCTGGTTAGATGATGAAGGTCCCTCTCAAACAGGCTATGGGGCCGGCCTAGAGACTGGTCGTGGCCGCTCACCGTGAGGCAGCCATGCAGGGGCGCTCGCACGGCCTGGGTGGCCCCGTACCCAGGGCTCTGTGAGGCCAGGGGCTCAGCCCCCCGGCGGCGGGGGAGCCAGGCAGGCTTTGGTATCCAAGGTCACAGTAAGTGGCTTCCACGGAGCCCTGCATGAAGGGAACCCCTAGAAGAGCACATCCTCACCCCACAATCTCCGCTGTGGACTTGGAAGCCTTCAACAACCATGCGAGGTGATGCAGGCCTTTCCCCTTTCACCCAGTCCCACGGGGGTGCCTCTGGGCCTCACAGTTGCAGGAGGAAAGGGAAAAGCCCTGTGGCTCCACCTCCTCCCACTCCTGTTCTAGGATTCTTTGTTCCTCGAATCTCTACCCCACTTCCCATCACAGCACGACTCTGGCACCAGACGGGGCCGGGCGTGCCAGCATCCGTGTGCTCCTTTCTTTTGCTGCCACCATGGTCTTTGTATGTTAGCTCCCCTGGCCCACACCCTCCAAGAACACCTGTGGAGGGCTGCCGATTCCACTCCCCACCTTGGGGGGGAGGTCCCGGGGGGAGCACCAGGAAGGGCTTGTTTTCTTTAGACCACAAAGGCACTTCCTTGCCCCATGTTCAGCTGGGCTCAGCCTCTGCCCTGTGCAGCCTCCCACCTGGGCTGAGGACCCACCTCTGTGCAGCTGGGGTAACGGGATGGGGGCCAGAGAGGCCCCGTCAGGTGGTGGTCACTGGGGAAAACCACAGGAGGTGGGAGCGCCGCTGGCCACTGACCGGGGGAGGGAGGTGAGAACCCGAGAAGATTCCGGGTGAGGCGAAGGGTGGAAGTATAGGGGCTAAGCTCCAAGAAACAAGGGGAACCCGAGTGCAATAGGCCAGATTAAGCAACAACTAGGGGAGGGGAGGTAGAGGCAGGTAAAACCGGGAGATCCTAAAAGGCTTTGAATGCAGGAATAATAAGCATTTGAAGGTGGGTTTTGTCCCTGACCCCACCCCCGCCTCCCCCTGTAGGGAGCAGAAAGGTGTAGAGGAGTCTGAGCAAGTGAGAAGTCCAAAGGGAGTTAAGTGGAGCTTCCAGGCAGGGAGAGCCCTTGGGAGGCCATGGTGTGGATCCTGGTCCTGGCCTGGGAACTGGGCTGGGAACTGGGCTGGAGCAGAAGAGATGCTCTCTAGGGAACGCTCTGGAGCAAGACAAGGAGGAGACAGAGGGGGCACTGGTTGGTGGGGGGGGGGCTGTCACACTCCCTTGAGCTGAGGAGGAGGTGATGGTGAGGCTGCACATGATGTGTTTGCAGGGCGGATGAGAAACACAGCTGCTGATTCAGACACCAGCAGGTGGAAGCTTTGGGCGTCGAGTGGGACAAGGTGGAAGTGGGGCGTGAGCACGGGTGGAGGGGGAGAGAGTGTGCAAGAAGTGCCAAGGACCTGTGGAGGTGGAAGAGGAACTGGTGGGGGGGGGGAGCCCCGGGAAAGGGGCCAGTGGGGGTCACCAGGGTCACCAGGGTCAAAGAGGGCAGTGAGGGGGCGAGGACAGGGTGCCTCCATGTGTGCTATTACTTGCATCAGCATTGACCTTCAAATGTGGACTTGGGTGAGGATTTCCCCACTGCATGGACCAGCGAGGTCAGGGCCCGTGGGGGACAGACAGTCCCAAACAGCAGAGGGAAAGCCTTTTTATGAGAAACCAGGGTAAAGGGCCCCAGCGAGGCGCAGACAGCAGCATGCTCAAGGTGTGGTGACCTGTGGAGGTGGAAGGGCAGTGGCCGAAAGCCTGAAACCGAGTAAGCGCTGCGTGGCAGGAACCAGGGAATCACATGAGCCGAATGCACATACGCTAAGAGGGCCAAAAAAGACAAAATAAAAATTTCTAGAACTCTTGATTCCAATCTTCTGTATATTACAAACTTCCCATAAATAAAAAAACTGGGGGAGCAAACATCGAGACCCAAAGTTTCCACACAAATAGTTCCTTTCATGACCAGCAATTCTCTGAGTGCCCAGACCGAGCATTTGGATCTTAATAATGACAGGGGGGATCAAGAGGACCTGGAGGCGGTGGGTGCCGGACGTGTGTGTCTGGGGCTCCACGGGAGGCGAGAGGAGGAGGCTCACCTGAGTTTTGGAGTCAGGCCGCAGCCAGGGGAGGACCCCTGAGCGTCTGAGGTCTGCCATTCGGGCGTTGAGCTTGTGAGCCAGGATAATAGTGAGGGGCATGCACTCTTCTGTTTCATCGGTGGCATAGCCAAACATCAAACCCTGGACGGGGGAGAGGGCCGACTGAGCAAGGCCCGCTCTAGACGACGGGACAACGTTCTTCAAATCTCAACCCCGGTTGGCACTCCGGCACGGATCGGGTGCTTGGTGCACGCAGCATCCGCGTGGGCGTGAGCCCGATCCGGTGCTCCCCAGCTCCCCAGCTCCTCGGCTAGTTCCTCCCCAGGGCTCCCAGTCACAGCGGAGACAGACAACACTACCTTGACCCTCCGACACCGTGCACCCCTGCTCCACGTTGCTTACCTGGTCTCCGGCCCCAACATCCTCCTCGTTTCTGTCCAGATGTACACACTGAGCAATATCCGGGGACTGCTGCTCCAAAGCCACCAGCACGTTGCAGGTCTTGAAGTCAAAGCCTAGGCGGGAGGGAATGTGGGCCTTACTGGGGACCCCTGTCAGACAGAGGGGTCTGCAAGCTTCCTGGTGGGCTGCTCAGCTGGGGGGGTGGTCTCTAACCAGCTACGGTCTGTCTGGGCTCAGAGCTGAGGCCCAGGGATGGGGAAGCCCATGTATCCTTCCCATAGGATCATCTGGAACTCTGGCCAAAGAAAATCCTCTATGGTGCATTTTACTATATTAAATTATGCCTAGATCAAAAATATATATCCTACACAGAACTGCAACACAAAAATCAGATAAAGAGGTACAGCTGCTCTGGCTGAAGAGCGATGGATGATGCATGGTCTTGCCCCCTTAGGCACCTCCTAAGATCTGGGTTGAAAATCACCTTCCAGCCCTACAGATCAGAAGCCCAGGTGTATGCCTCATGCGGGTATGAATTAGATTGAGCTAAGAGAGCACACGGCAACTGTCCAGAGGGGCTCCCAGACCCAGAGTCCTCTGATCCCAGGCTATGCACGAGGGCCTGGAGCAGAATGGAAAAGCTGTGCCTCTATCCCCCAGGTTCAGGCTTGGAGATGGAGGCTGCACCCCCGCCCCCCAGGTGAGGTGCCACAGGCTGGGAACCCTCCATGGGGGTCTGGCCGGCGGCAGCCCCGCCCAAGGAGGCCCTGCAAGGGGCTCAGTGCCCATACTGCAAACTCCTCTCCCGGGAGGTCCTCAGGCCCTGCTGGGCTCGGCCATGGGGGCTGCGTGAATGAGGGGCTGCAACCCAGAGCGGCCCCACCGCAAGGACAAGTGTTAGTGACAAGCTGAGCAACCCGCACTCTCTCGCCAGGCTGCACTCCCTACCGCAGCAGGAGCTGACTAAAACCACCCACCCACCCACCCAACCCAGATCCAGTCTACTGGTTCCGTACTTGCTTCCCGTGGGACCTGCTGCCAAATGAAGCAGGACCAGGCCCCTCCGCTCCATGCAGCCCCTCCCAGCTGAACTGCTCCAGCCCCGGGGTGCAGCCTTCAGGGCAGACCTGGACCTCCAGGTGGAATGCTCCTCCTCCAACTCCCCATCCCCACACACACCCAAATCCCACCAGCTCTCGGCTCGTTAAACATCCCTGGACCTTCCCTCCCTCCTCCCCTCACCGCACCCCGTGCCACCGACTTGCCGCTGGGCACCTCCTACTGCACCTCGTAGAGTGATCAGGAGAGATGCAGAAGGCGTAATGCACAACTGGGGAGTCCTTGGCAGCCAGCAGCAGGGCTGGGCTCTCACTGCTCTCTCTCTAGGAGACGTGGCCTCCTGGGAAGGCTGCCTTCTGCCTCATGCAGAACAAGACTTGCTTTTGAATGAGGTCCACCCGTAGGTAGGCAATGGGCTCCTCCTCGTGCGGCGGGGCGAAGGCCCTGCACGGTAGCACGGTAGCACGTTGGGAGGCTGCCGCTTGGGGACAGCGTGTGGCCTCTAGGAACACCCTGCTGTGCCGCCTGGGAAGTCAGCCCGTGCTCGCTGGCTCTGCTCCCGCTGATTCCCAAGAGCCCCCCTAAACTTTCATGTGCTCAAGCGAGCACTCCGGGCAGCTCAGAAGCCAGGGGCACTGAGCCTCTGTGTCTGAGCCTCGGGGACAGGCCGTCACTCACATGTGCAGCACGTCGTTCCGGGGACCCCGACCCGCAAGCGGCAGCACACGGCACCCCAGAGCCAGGAGAGGGTGCCAGCACACCCAGGCCCATGGCATCTGGCTCCCGCAGGCTGTCCTCCGATGCTGCTCTGGGCTGGGCCTGGCTGTAGACGTCGGGCCGGCTTTGGGGCCCTCTGTTCCCTCCAGCTGTCGCCTCCACCTAACTGCGGGGCTCCTCCCCAGTCCCGCCGGTGCCTGTGCCCCTTCCCTGGGCTGCGGGCTCCCGCACTGCCCGGCTCCTTCACCTGCCCAGAGTACCAGCTCTGGGCCGAGTCACCTTTTTCTCTGTCTATAGCAAGAAGCCGCATGGAGCAGAAGGCACAGGGGTCCACACGGCAGTCACTAGCGGGCTGTCACCTTACACAAATTAGTGACACTCCCGTGCTTGGATTTCCTCATCTGCAGGGGAAGCACAGCCAAAGGCCTCGAGAGAGGAGCGACTGCAAAGCGACTGCAAAGCGCAGCAAGATCCCCCAGCTGAGAACACACCCTTCCCGGGTGCGTCTCTCCCCCCAAGCCTTTGCCTGCTCCAGGGTGACACGGGTAGTTCAGCTGGGCGCCACCACGCTGTCACTGGAGACTTCACCCCTGAGCCAGCCAGGCGGGCCCAGCGATGCCCCCCCCCACCCCGGTGGTGTTCACACTTGCAGGGGGCTCCGGCCTGAGGCCCCGCCTCACCCTTGGCAGAGTCGTCGTAGCCAATGTGCCTGATGGCGCCTCTGACCACCCGCTGATAGTCCACCGTGGCCGTGGACGTGATCTCTCCGCAGAGCAGCACCATGCCCGTCTTGCACACTGTCTCTGCGAGGGAGGGGGGATGTCAGCGGCCGTGAGCCTGAGCGGGGGAGCCCCACTCCTGGGCCTCCCACCCAGAGTCTTCCCAAGCCCGGGTTCCAGAAATAAAAGAATAATGCTAACAAACAGACTAAAGCCCAGCAGTCGTGCCGAGTACGCGTGAATGCTGCCCGGGGAGCTACACTTCGGACAGGACGGGTCACACCTCCCTTTTGCAGCGAGGGCCCCTGCTTGTGTCTTCTTGAACCACCTATTTCACCTCTCAATCAGCTTCCCCAGCTGCTCCCTGGGGACAATAGTCCCACTGGACTGCCGCGTGGATCCGTGTGAGGCGTTGGGCTATCCTAAAGAGTATGGTCGACGCACACCTGCATCCAGGATGCCTCTCCTGCCCCTTAATGCTAAGGCTCCAGGCCAGGCTGAGATCCTGAGATGGAGGCAGGCCAACCTTCTCACCGGCTATCCACAAGGACACCAGGTGTGGTCCACCCTCAGAGGGCCCGGGTCCCCACAGTGCCCAACGCAGGGGCTGGGGTGGCACTGGAGAAGGAGGGAACAGTCTGTGTGGCACTGAACGAGGACGGGGGTGCTGGTCTCCACGTGGGGCACCCCTGCCCCGTGACCTTGGCCAAGGCCCTGGTTGAGCGGCACGGATGGTACCTTCGGGGGCCTTCCAGGCGCTGGGCCCCTGACTCTCTGCCATGCCAAGTGCCCTGGCACAGGCAAAGGCCTCAAGCTCAGTCCACTGAGGTCATAAGCAGGGAGGGAGCGGGTGATTCTTACCGCAGGCCACCTTGGCATTGGGGTCCTGCTTCAGGTGGGCATCCAGCACCGCATCACTGATCTGGTCGCAGATCTTATCTGGACAAGAATGAATATATGTATGAATCACAGAAGTACTAGGTATAGCCAGCTGAAATGGTAAAATAATTAGATATTTTGGTAGGTTTACATATCAAATATACTTTTCTAATACAAAAAATTAGGAGCTTTTTGAAAATTTTTTTATTTCTTCCCATCCCTGCCTAATTGTGGGTGATTTCTATTATATAAACTCATAGAGTTCCCTAAAGAAAGAGATACATTCCAAAATAAGTCCTAAGAGACTAAAGCAATTCATACACACACACACACACACACACACACACACATCCTCCTATTAAAAAGTCTGTCATTCCTCAAGATAGTCCCTTTAAGTCTAAAGTCTAGAAAGCTCCTAGAAATAGAACCTAAATTGGCTAATAACATTGGTAAGATGAGGTGCCAACATGTGAAAATCAGATGGAGCAAACAGATGCGTTGCTGTGATGGACTGTGTATACGGCGCCAGGCCCAGATCCACCACCCCACCCGTAGGAATTCTAGAAGAGAGAGAGCTTCCACACACCACTGCTGTTCTATAGAATCCTTCCCTAAGCAGCTCTCAGGTCACCCCCATGGTCACACCGCCTCCCGCAGGCTAGATGTCCTAAGAGCTTGGTTAGACCTCTGTCAAGGTGGGACTTACAACAGCTCAACAGGAACTGGGCTTCGATCTTATTGTTCCACTACTTGTCTTAAGGTTGAGTTTGCAGACCCCGCCATGGCACTATGGAAAAATCCACTCTGGCCTTGGGGTTGTGCAAACTGTCAATGTTCCCAGACTCAGAAGTAAAAGCGACATCTATTTACATATATTGCATCTCATTTAATGTTCAAAATCCCCGTGGGGTTTGCTCTTAACAGGTTTTTTTTTTTTTTTAAGATTTTATCTATTTATTCATGAGAGACACAGAGGCAGAGACACAAGCAGAGGGAGAAGCAGGCTCCCTGCAGGGAGCCCGATGTGGGATTCGATCCCAGGACCCCAGGATCACTCCCTGAGCGGAAAGCAGATGCTCAACCGCTGAGCCACCCAGGCACCCTGTTCTTAACAGATTAATACATTTTCCCCCCAGCTTTATTGAGGTATAATTGGTGTACAAAAAAAGTCTGCACAAAATCAAACAATTTGGGGGGTTTGAACACGTGAATACACTTTTGTTATGTTACAATAAACAAGGTAATAAACACATCTGTCACCTCCCAGAGTTTCCTCGTGTCCTTCTGTTTTTTGTTTTTCAGTTTTTAAATTAAGATTCCAGATCCAGAACCAAGTGGTTCTGCTCTCATAAGTGCATCATTTAAAATGCTAAACATCAATGTAACTTAAAATATTAATCTGCCGTTCAAGGGGAATTCTCTAAACTCTCCTCCAGAAACTGCTACTAAACCTTGAGGCTTTCTATTCAACCCGTCACCAGTGGCAGATCCTGAGTGTAAAGCTAGGTTGTCTGAGGCCACTGCCTCTGCACTTCCTACCAAGGAAGGTCTGCTGCTAAAATATCCACTTTAGGCTTACCCATCAGGACTCCTAGGGCCGACCACGGATGAGTCTGCTTGTTTCAAGGACGCGGGTCACATGTCCCCAGTCCACATGGGAAGGTGGGATAAGGGGTATTAGGCATAAAGCTGGAGCCAAGCAAGAGTGCTAAGATAGCTCCACAGACTAAAGAAATGCCTAAGGAGGCCCTTTCTGAACTGTGTCTTTAGGCTTTCAGAATTTCTATCAATATCATTCAGTACCTTTAAGATAGCCAATAGCTGGTTTTCTGAGAAGCCGAAAGAGCATCTATATAATTCTCCTGGTGGAGATGTAGTCAGCACTGGAATAGTAAGCAAGACAGCACCAAGCCTTAGGGGAAGCTGACTTACATGAACACTTAATCGACTGCGGCAAGTGAAAGGAGAGTCGGACAAATTGAAAGGCTATCATTTAGCAGACAAAACAGCCAACTGGTTGGCTAGAATTTATCTTCTCCGTCCATGGAGCACACTGCTAGGGGTACGAGGAGACCGCTGGCCACTGTGCACCCAAGCAGCCACATCGTCCAGGTGGAGCAAATCTTTCTCCTAACCCATGTATAGTCTTCATGTGTGAGACATGGCAATGAGTCCAAAGTTACGAGAGTGGTAAACCTAGAGACCACATAAAGTTGTGCACAGTGAAAGAGGCTATTTGCTTTGAAATGAGCTAAGTCACACACAAAACTCAATTTAAGCCAAGGTTTCTCAACAGCGATACTATTGACATTTGGGGCTGGAAAATTATTTGTTGTGGGGGGAGGGTCTTGTGCATTCAGGATGTTTAGAAGCACACCTGGCTGCTGTCCATTAAATGTGGCAGCACCCCAACCCCTCACGGCAGGCAGAGTTATGGTGACAACCAAAAATGTTTTCCGACAATACGGAATGCCCTTAGTGGAGCAAAACATCCCCCTGTTGAGAACCACTGGTTAAAGCATATGGAAAGAGTGGTGTGAGATGTCGAAAGCTGAGTTACAAGGCAGGAAAGTACATGGATGAATAAGATGAAGAAAAGGTAGCTTTGGTGGTAAGTTGCCAAAACTTCAAATACTCAGATGAATTCTGAAGAAGTGCTTAAAGACATAAATCAGTGTGTCTAGCCCCCAGGATTCTTCTAGGACACTGCTTCCCAGAGTGTGGTTCCCACAGCAGCAGCAGCATCTCCTGAAAGCCTATTAAAGATGCAAACCTTGAGCCTCACCCAGGACCTGCTAAATCAGAGACTCCGGGGGAGGCGCAGCACTCTGCATTAGCAAGCCCGCTGGGTGGTGCGGATGTTCCCCGAGGTCTGAGATCCACTGACCTGAGGCTCTGATCATGGTCCTCACTGGCACACATGAGAGCCTCGCCCATGTCCCCACATCACCAAAACCTGCTCAGATGTTCTTCTTCTCCAGGAGGTCACCTGTACTTGTCTCGGGTAACATACCTGAGGTCCTCAGGACCTGGTGAGCTATCTCAGAGGCTACTGGAATGTGCTGTTCATGCCTAGACTACACAGGCCTTACGTGCAAAACTTAGTGACTGGGGCTTGTCCAAGGGAACATTCTCTGTTGACTTAAGTCACTCATTGATAATAAAGCTTTATCTCCCCCTCCAAAAAAAAAAATATATATATATATACATCAAGTTGATTATCTGATGATATGTGTCCAACGTATAATACGTTCAGTCAACCCACTGTGTGTTCTCTGCTGTAGCCTCATCGTGCTGAGATGCTGGAGGCAGGCAGCAGCACCAGCCCGCACGGCCTCCTTACCTGACAACTTCTCATTTCATATTCAGTGACTGTTCTACAAGACTACCAATTAATAGAATTAAAGAAGTGCCGCGTAGGCTGCCCCTAGACGTCCTGCATAGAAACCAACCCAGACTGTTTCCAAGGCCCCTCGTAAACTGACTCCCCTGGCACAGACTGCCATCCATCCATGGTCACAGTCACCTACTTACCCGGGTGTCCCTCTCCGACGGACTCCGACGTGAACATGAACGCGCCTTCTTCGCTCAGAGAGTGGTCACACAAGCCATCCACTGGGCCATTCATCTTTGCACGCTTCTCAGTCTCTTCAAGGGAACAATTTCAATGCTGTGACTTTGGCTGAGGTTTGTTTTGTGGCTTTGTTGTTGCTGTTGTTTATTTCTAGAAATCCAACAGGCTCGTCTTTGGCAGAGCCACAGGGCTCCCTCCTGCCGAACGCCTGCGAGCACGTGAGAGGAAGGTGAGGATGGTGAGGAGGGAGGGCCTAAGTCCAGATGTGTCACTCCCTCCGACTGGTCACCGCTTGCTCCTGAGTGACTCCTATATATGGAAAAGTGAAAGTGCCTGAATAATCATGTGAGAAAATTGGAGGAGTCCATTTCCTGGGAGGGGGTTCTTCCTACCTTGAGGGATTCCAGTCCTCGGCTCGGACGTCCCGAACCCTCGCCTCTGGTCAATGCATGGTAAAGAGGGCTGCATAGACTCTGCAGAACTCAAGCTCCCTTTGGGACTCTGCTTCAGCTCTGCAGCTAATCTCCATGTTGCTCCAAGGTTAACATCCCACGTTGGAGGGCGGGGGTCTGTGGTTACTCAGGGATACAAACAGGCAGCAAGGAACTCTTTCCCAGAGAGAGGGTTTAGGCTCAGACTGCCACACAAGGTGGCCTGGGCTGGTGGGTGCTGCCCTTCCCCCCCGCCCCCCACACCTTGTCGGCTTGGGCTCTTCCCCTTCTTCTCCCTTCTCAGAGCTAAAGCATGCACCTGTATTCTGAGTCAGCCTGGATGTTACACAACACATTCATTTAGAAGAAAAGCGATTCAGCCCATATTTTTCTGCTAATAGAAATCACCTAAACTGTCAAAGTCTCTAAGACACTGGCAGTCACATCGACAAGCAAGATGCTAAAATGCATCTGGACAGGTTACAGAAGACAACACTTTTTGGGGCAAAAGGTCTCTTGAGAGACGGATTCATTACAGGGAAATGATCAGAGTCCCGTTTCCCAAAGCTTCCATATGATAAATTAGACATCTACCTTTTCAGTCCTGTATGCTTGATCAACACCCTGCTCATGTGACTCCTGTATTTTTTTTTTTTTGCTTTGACCAAGAAAAAAGTGAACAGGCTTACGTCCTGAATCAATGCATACAATAAACGACAGCATCCCTCTCTCTCTTCATTCTCTCCCACTCTCTGACCTAGCTGCACCCGCAGGCAGTGGAATGGTAGGGAACCGAGATCGCAGACAGTGAGAAGGGGTGGAGAAACCCGTTCCCACTAGAAAGCAATAGAACACAAGCATCCAGAAGAAGCGCGTGCACCAGATACTCGACTGTGGGAAGCAAAAGGTAGGATGCGGTGGCCCAAGTTAACAATTCTGCTGACCAAATCCCCTCTGGACTCAGTATATGAGCATCTAAAAACATTTTTTTCTGGTGCTCTGAATCTTGAGTTTTGCCAACTGGTCATCAGCAGCGGCACCATCCCTCCAGGGAATGAAACCACATTTAAAGCGACCTCTTCGGGGATGAAGTCAGAGACTTTACGTATACATATTTCATCAGAGGCATTTAAGAAAGAGGGAGCTGGAATGCTCAGGCATAAGGTTACTGAAGGGCCAGAGAGGAAAAGGCCACTGGGACGGGATGGAAAAAAATGAGGATCGAATAGGGACTTTAGACAACATAGCCTTGTCCTTGTCCGCGCACAGCACACAGAATATTTCAACATCTCTCTGTCTCTTTGTAAATTTCTTCTGGGTACACTGGTTTCCAACCCGGAGGCAATGCGAGCTAATGTTTAATGTGAACTGTAGACCTAGGTTAGGCTAGTGGCTAGAACTGGAGCCATTATGTTCTAACTCGGCTTCAAGAGCAGGACGGAGCCCAAGTAGCCGGTGCTCACCAAGGTCCTAGAGCTGGCAAGAAGTCAGAGCAGAGCTGCCTAACTGCCCTCTGAATTCCAGAATGACTGGAAGTGCGGGGTTGGAGGGCCATGTCCTAGGCAGAGGAGTGGTGCTTTCAGAAACAGAAGCAGGAGGCTTCTGCAGTCTGGATACAAATTCAGAGCGAGGGAAGGATCTGGAAGCTCCAAGCTCAGTACCCATACGTGTGGGTCTCAGAGGACATCCCCACTAAATCTAGGCCACCTTTTATTCTTTCAGTAGATAGATGTCAACCGGCGGCACACAGAAGTACAGCGCGTGGGAGCGCGGCCCTCTGGTTCCCCCGAGCGAACCCACCTTGGGGCAGGCTTCCTAATGGCTTGGCTCCTGCTTCCTCATCTGTAAAGCAGGCTAAACAATTGCCCACCCCACAGCATCACTGTGAGCAACAGACATGATCATTCAGGTGGGATGAGGATGGAGCATCGGGGGTGCACAATAAGGCTTTAATAAAATTTTACCTAAGCACCTTCCGTGTACATAAGAGACAATTTTCTTATGTAAAAAGACAAAATGCAAGGCCGTAGGAATGCTGAATGAGTCAAAAGATTCCCCTCAGGTAGCGAATGTTAACCAGTTAGATAAAAGAAACTGCATTTGCACCGAGAGCTAAAACAGTGGCTTCCATGTACCCCCTTCGGAGAGGACTGGCTGACTTTGGCAAAGATGTAATTACTCAGAAAACTGAACCAACAGGGACTTTGTATCTCTAATTTGCCTTCATAAACTCAAACTAAAACCTGCCTTATGGGGTGCCTGGGTGGCTCAGTCTGTTGGGTGTCGGCCTTCGGCTCAGGTCGTGATCTCAGTGTCCTGGGATGGAGCCCCACATCAGGCTTCCTGCTCAGCGGGGCATCTGCATGTCTCTCTCTCTTTGCCCCTCCCCACTGCTCATTCTCTATCTCTCTCTCTCAAATAAATAAAATTTAAGAAAAAACAAACAAACAAACTCTGCCTTACGCACACACTGTGCTTTACGCATGAATTGTCCTAATGTCCCCCCAGCCCCACTGATTACCTAAGTCCAATTCGATGTGTCCAAGGCCCACAGTTGATTTCACTGCCATGCAGCAACATTCAACTCTAAAGCTTTGCTGACAAGCCTCTGAAGAAACTTGGCTTTGGTTTAAAATGCCAGATGAATGCAAAATACCAAGCAAAAGGCTATGTTTCCAATGAGCAGCATGTGTAAGCCACAGTGACCAGTTTCATGAAGGGGCTTTGAGGGCACCTGACCCCAGAGACCTAGTGGTGAGCACCTGGCTGGATAGTGCCCTTGGCCAGCTCCTGCAACTGCCCTGCCGGACAGCTATGCCTCAGGCAACAGAGAGGAGGCAGTTTTGACGACCCCAAACTCTGGATACAGAAGTCGAGTGCACATTCACTTCATAAATGCTGTTTAAGTGCAAACATTTCTAAACCTTAACTCCCTTAACTTAAATGGCAGAGTAACCACATGGAGTATTTTCAACAGGATTACTGCTTTTGCCCTCAATAATTTAAGCACAAACTCTTCCCTCAGATATTATCCTAGAATATGAATAGTTTATTTATGGAAGAAAGATAAATAGATTCAGGTTATACATTTTTTAAAGATTTTAGGTCATTTCAACAATATGTGACTTTGGTTGAGTACAAAATCCCAATAAGCTCTCCAGATATGACAGCTGTTCTGGAAAGGAAGAAAGGGATGCGGAAAGATTTCACAGGAGAAAGCAGAACCTGAGCTGGACCCCAGAGGAATTCCAGCATTTTAAAGGCAGCAGGAGATGGTAAGGCCATGGGGGCTTTACCAGCCAAGAAGCCACATGGTGTGACTTGGAGCTGGTGCAGAGGAGCATTGCCCCAACTTCACCTGGGAGGCTCGGGGTACCTGGGCAGGGAGCGGGGAGGGCTGGGGAAGCAGGCGAGCCAGGAGCTGGGACTCAGGGTGGCAAGGAGCCATGCAGAGAGGCAAATGAAGGTTTCCACCTGACAGGAAAAGGCAAGCTAGACTCTAGAGGAAAAGCATTCCAAAATCAGAGAGAAGAGGTAAAATTTCCACCTTGATCCAGGAGTAACCTGAAGAACAACGTAGCCTGAAACATTTATACGATGTAAATCCTGCTGTGCATTGTTGTTTTTCAAAACTCCATTGCTTTTCTTCCCAGAATCATCCTTTCCCCCAAACACATATACCCCAGCTTCTGAGACTTGAGATCCTGAGAGGTTGTTAAAATTTCTGATCCTTTACCATCCATCTCTAATTTCCTGCAAAGCTTGTCAGTGGTGCGTTGAAATTCTCTCCTTCCATCTTTGTGTTCACAAATAGTCACCTCTGTACCCACCTTTCTTATCTCACATTTGAATTAGGCACCAGCTGGGCCCACCCTCCCATGCCAACATACCCTTCAGAGCCCGGTACCATGCTGCACATACTAGGTGCCTTAAAATGGCCTGCTAGTTGGTACCTGGAAAAACAAGTCATCTCCTACACTACCTCATCTCAATTAAGGCGTGCAAACAAAATATTTACACAGTAAGAGCTAAACAATCTCCTGAAAATACTCCTACGCTGGAATACCATTCAGCAGTCAAAACATTAACCACAACATCACACACACAAATATGGATGAATTTAAACAGTATTCGGTGAAAAGGGGGCCAAAAGATAACCTACAATCCCTTTTTAATAAAAATAAAACAAGATTTGTAACACATACTTTTTGGGAATATATAAAGGTCCATTATAAGATTCAAAAAGGAAAAAAGTAGGAAATGAGATCACTGAAAATGGTGGACTAGAAAACTCAAAGTTTCTATCCAGCCACAAAAATCAACTAATAACCTGGAAAAAAAATCTTTTGAATCAACTTTTGTAAAACTCTGGAATCTAGTCAAGAATTTATAGGAAGCTTAATAAAGAAAGAGGCTGTCACAATTACTGAGACTTATTGCTGTCACACTGCAGTCAGAGAATGCTTTACATTTTAAATTGCCCACCTCATTCTACACTCTCCAGACCAATGGTGTACATGAAAATAGTAGCTCATGTTCCCAATGCAGGTTGCTAGTGAAGAGCAAACAAAACAAACCTTATTCTCAAATAACTGAGGTTGTATTTGTTTGTTTGCTTGTTTACCAGTCTAGCAGCTCCCTGAAGGATAGTGTAAGGGATGGCTTTTGCTTTGCCAGACTCAGCATTCCCAGAGCTGGGGCAGGTTCCCAGTTGCCATTTGCGAAAAGCATTTCAAGGCATGGGGCACTCAGGTGGATCAGTTAGTTAAGCATCTGATTCTTGGTTTTGGCTAAGGTCCTGATCTCAGGGTCGTGAGATCCAGCCCCATGACAAACCCCAT